CAGGAATGACTGCAATAAAATAAGGACAAACATGATCTAGCCAACATTTATGACAGTAGAACAACGAGACTGGCAAAAGCCGTAGCTGTGACAAACACACACAGACATGGTTATCCCCTCAGTTCTCCTTAAAATGTACGCCTCCCAGGGTGCAATTCATTAGTTTAATAGAGACAATATTTGCTACATAGATCATCAACATTTAATACAAATGAAGCTAGAAATCCTAACATCTGCTAAGTTTGTGCCCCAAAAGTCACTGCATGGGAAAGTGGGTATTACCCTCCTTTTTTGGGGGACTAGGTTTGTATGTGGTGCAAAATGCTGCATCACAGCTTGTTAAGAAACTATGAACATCGCCTGTCACTTTTGGACATAAAACATCTGTTTTCAGAAAGTAAAGCAGAAATGTGAGACAGGATCAGGAAGTGAACAAAGAGTAATTTTCACTACATCAAGCAATCTAATCTCATTAAAAAGTACTTTCTCTTCTCATAATTCACCACACAGAATCCTAAAATAAACATGTTTTTTCCTCAGCGGAGAATATTTTAGGCTCTTTTTAAAACATGAGGTAATCCAGCCTTATAATTTATAGTTTTAATATTCACAGAAAATAGTTTATATTCCACATGTTGCCATGTCTTTTGCAAGACAGTATATTTACTAAGTAGAAAGATACATACCCATACAGGTACGTATCTGTGTGGTCTATTTTTATTTCTACAGGGAAAAGGAGCTGCAATGTATTCGGGTTGGGAGATCTCCTCCATGCTGCACTGTTAGACTAGGTGGGCAGTTCTTAAGTCAGTTTGCTTCTATCCTCCTTGGCAAAGCATAAGCAAGCATAAGCAAGGTCTCCCTGTAAGAAGGGTCAGATCAACTCCATTTCCATTACTGTAACTTGATGTGATCACGAGGATTTGAAAAATTATGCCTGAATTTTCATTTTAAATAGTGATATCAGATAGGCTAAGTGCAGCTGCTCTCCTAGAGATGTTTTTGTTTACTTTCCCTATCAAAAACATTTTACTTAACCAAAGCAGCCAACTGGAGTGATTACACAGATTTGGATTTACACCCAGGCATGCAAAACAATAGTTTCCATTTCAACACTGTTTTATGGGTAGAAACAACAGGTCAGACGCTCTGCTGCTTCCATGTCAGACACATTACCGAGCCAGCAAGGCCTCCCGGCTCCCTGACTCTGCAGTGGGAATTAACACGCAGCCCCAGCGACGCTACACCAGCAGGCGCAGCCAAAACGCATTTTACTCTGGCTAGCTTTTCCTAGGCCCCTACACACTTCTGCTCCTGTGACCGTGGGGATGAAAACATACAAATTAGTTACATCAATCTGCTTTAAGCTGGGACTAATTCATCCCAAGAAACTCCCAGCTGCAAATTTCACGGCTTATTCCTCCTGTCTGTAAAGGACACCAAAGAGGGGAAGAGAAGGCCACCTTCGCTACCTATATGCTCATAAAAATTTACAATGTATTCTGGTAAGTACAGTTAAAGGTGCAAAACCCACACTGCAGGTATTACAATGCCTCCATTCTGCAAAAATAGCTGTTCTAAGGCCAGGCTGGAAAGCAAGAACTGGGAGTTAGGTACTGATCAGAAAGCTAAAGGTAGGAATTCGCATTATGCTTATGATGGGAACATTGCAAATAAATACAGAAAAGATGCTGTAAATTCTGTCAGTTCTTCGGCATTCTTTGTTTATGTTATTGCACTAATAATTAACAGGCAGTGTGATTTGAAACCTAAAGAAAGGCTAATTTATTTGTTCAAAACAATGCACTATTAGGTAGCTTATTTGACTACTGTTTTACAAGAAGTCTGGGGAACTTCTTACAGAGATGCAGTTTAAACTTCTAGGTAGCAAAGAAAAAACCTGAGTTTTCCTGTGACAGCTGCTAGAACCCAGCTCAGATAAATAAATGTGTGTGAGGGG